AATGATTTCGCTCGCTTTTTTAATTAAAAGAAAAAAAAAAAAAAAAACAAGGAAAAGGGGCGGAAACGCAACCCGACTCATTCACATTTTTCACTGTACACGCTTTCCTACTGTACACGTATAACGTTGTTTCAACTTAAGGAAAAATGAAGTTCTTTCTTTTCTGTTTTCACATTCGACGGATATTAAACGTTCCGGCCGAAAGTGCATTGCTGCAGATGTTAATTAATTTCCGAAATTTTCCTTTCGCTCGCCAGAAATCAAATATCATGACTCGACGTACAAGCGCCGGAACATCTTTCTGAAAATTACACGAAAAAAACCTATTTACACGCGCTGAAAAATAAAAAAAAAACAAAAGCGACAGTAATTCTCATCAGGCAAAATGGCTTATGAGAAAAAAAAAAAATTTTGCGAGCGGTCTAGTAATCGCGAACAGTCCGTCCAAGTGTAAACGCCCGTTTCTCATAGCCTTGTTTTTTTTATAATTTTTTTTTTTTTTCTAAAGAAAAAGAAGTAGAAGAAGAAGAAAAAAAACGGAGAATAGACGCGCGAGTGCACATTCATTTCAACAACGGCGGACGTGGGAGAGAGAGAGATGAGAACAAACGTCCGCGTTAGGCGGAGCGAGAGAGGAAAATCCGGTGCCCCACTCGGGGCAGCTACGCGTATGTATACCATACACGTCAGGTAAGCCCGAAAAGGAGCCACGCTCGAGAGCATATAGGTGTGCTCACAAAACGAGAGGCACCGTTGTTCCCTCCCCCCCCCCCTCCTTGGCTGGAATCAAGGCATCAGACGACGGCTAATACAGACCGGGTGCTTATTTATTTTAGCCCCGCGAGGGAGGGAGCGGCTGGTGCTAACGTCCGGGGACGAAGCGGCAATTTTTTCCCCGGCCGATGTAACTGTTCGTCGCTGTCCGAGGGTCAATTTACTCGGGACACTCGGCGATTTATTTGAGCCGTACAGCGTGCACAGCACCGAGGGCCGGCCAATCGATTTCGCCCCGAGAGGAGCCTCTTTTCTCTCCACCCTCACTGATTATGCCGTTGGCTTTTTCTTTTTTTCTCCTGCAGCCGACCGAATTAATGACATGGTCCAGAAAGCGAGGGGTGATCTATATACTCGTATCGCGATCGGAGCACAAGGTTTGCAGTGTACAGCGATATAAAATATCAATTCCGCCCTCCCTCGCATGTGTATCGATTTTTTTGAAAACCCACGTATTATCTCCTCCCCCCTCCTCGTCGTATCCCCGTCAGTTGCACTAATGGCATCAGTTACACCGACATCTCTGTGTCTGATGTATATATATATTCGTGAGTGTATATATTACACTGGACGATATTTTTATTTACTTTTTCGTTATTATTGCTCAACGGGTGAGGTAATAACGGTGCTCGGTGAGCTGATATTCGAAAACTCGCGCAACGTGTATCGTTAATTTCTCAATAACGGAATTGGCCAATTACTCGATTGTATCGTCCGCCTCGAACAGGCGCCTTTGGCCAGTGTAAATATCGAGTGCACAGCGGTAGGTTGTAATTTAATTAGAGAGAGCCGGTAGCGTGCGCGGGAGGCTTTCAAAGTTTCGTTTTTTATGAAAGAAGGAAAAACACGAGGTGGCCGACTGGCTTTCCTTTTAGCGGATAGTATTAAATGAACGAACAACACTCGTAGCGTTGGATGTGAAAGGATGAGAAAAAAAAAAAAACAGCAGGTGTACGTATGAAACAAATGTCGGGTGATCATAGATACAAATTGAGCTTGGCGGAGACAAGTGCAGGAGCGACGGAGCTCCGCGCTCGACACCATGCATTACGATAATGGTGTTCTCGACAGGAGGACGAATGGCCGACGACGTGTATACGGAAGTGGAGGAGGAGGAGAAAAGGGCCACAAACACCAGCAATGGACCCTTACGTAAGTGTACGTGTGTATACGAACGGATACTACAAGTAGGAGGAGAAAAAAAAAAGTTACCTGAAAATTGCGTATCTGTCCAATGGGGCAGTCGTCGCTGCATATGCTGCGCGGCACGTGCAGCTCGCCGACGCCGGTCGTCCACTGCGTCACGTTTATTTCGAGATCCAGCCTGGGAACATGGCGCAAACTCTCATACAGTAGTCATATACACAAGAATTAGAAGAGGAAAAAACAAAGGAAAATCGGACAAACGGAAACACACCCCAAGGGACAAGCGACTATTTCATACCTCTCCTTCCACGAGCCGATGAGGGTGTAATTGTAGCGGCCAAACTCGTCGCGCTGGTACTGGTAGATGTTGTAATAGCCGTAGGCGTCGCCGTCGGCGTTGAATTTAATTTCCGTTCCCTGGCGGCCTGCAAGCAAGTCCACGTGTACCTACTTATACATATAGACCTAAGCGATTATCACGCATCCGAGAGCTGATGCACTCTTGTTTACTTTTTTTTTTTTAACGTATATGACGAGGGTACAGCAGGTGGGTGTATACCCGGGAGCTGCAGTTTTGTCGGCACATACGGAGGCTCTGCTGCCGTGAAGCCATTACACATGGGTACAGCTATTTTTTTTTTTTTGTTTCTTTTTTCTTTACATTATAAATGTACATTCGGTGCAAATGAGGGGCGGATACAGGGAGGGAAAAAAAAAGAAGGGCCAGCGCGTTCGCGTTACCGGGGCATTTATCAGTGTCAGTCATTTATCAACGATCACGCCCGGGCGGCGAGGAACAGCTCGGAGGGGGAAATTTCTTCGGGCGTGACTGTCGTGTTTTTGCTCCTCGCTTGTATCATGTGTACAAACAGACATATGTATATTGGTGGAAGGAGTAGGTGACGCGTGCGGGTCGATCGCTCATTTTTCCACGCGGTGCCGAAGAAATCGTTCCCAAGTTGGGTGCGCATATACTCGAGTGACGGTACGTATATAAATGTATCGCTCGCACCGGACGCGCCGACAAAATACGTGTTCAACGGTAGTGACCCGGAGCCGTGTATGCATGCGTAATGGATGAAATCTGTTTGACGACTGTTTTTACGCCAGACACCCGCGCTCGATGTTTCGGAAAAAAATTCCGAGCGCGAAATACCTCGAACGCGCTTATACACCGGATGTGCAGAGATGCAGAACAAAAGTTTCACGGGGCTGGAGGTGGAGAGCGGCTTTTTGCGCGCGCGATAAACTTTAATGCCTGCCCCCCCCCCCCTCTTGTGTACCGCATCGGAGTTTGCACGTTAGCGCGCTCGCTTGGTACAAGAAGTATTCGCGGCCGTAAAGAGTTTGACGCGCGTCGATTCCAAGTTTTTTCATTTGCCAAGGGGTCGCGGACAAATATTGTAGCGAGGCTCGGATACATATATTAACAATATAAGAGGTGCTCGGAGGTGGGACAATCGCTGGAACAACTTGCTCGTTCGAGTCTTTTACTATGGCAAGCTCGATTGGTGAGTATTTTTTTTATCGATGTCACGCAAAAAAAAAAAAAAAAAAAGCCAGACTCACCGACAAAAGTGACGTTCCTTATGTACTGCAACAGCTGCTGTCCCCCGGGCGCGGGTCTCAGGGAGTCGCAGAGGTAGTGATTGTGATGGCCGCAGACGTCCTCGATGATGTTGTTGACCCCGTGAGCCATGGCGTACACAGCGTCGGCTGAAACGACAAACGGGTGTACATGATTTTTTTCACTCTTGCAAGTGTATATACATATACATGTTCGTCGTGCGACGCATTGTGGGTCACTTCATTTCAGCTCGAGCTTATACGTACAGATGTAATTTCGCCTCGGCCCTGTATTATCAAGTTGAAGGCGGCCTCGAATATCGGATTAAATGCGTGCTTGTGGTGCGGGGGAGCTCTGCTTTTCCGCGTGCATTATTTGGTTTCGCATCTTTTGTGCCGGGACCGAGCGAGGGCGAACTTTGTTAGGGGAACTTGAGCATAAATTTTAAAGAATACAAAGCGGATGAGCAGCTGGAAAACATCACGCAAATTTCAATGTTTCCTGCATTGTGCACAGTGGGCGTGTATTACTTTTGAGTGCCCAATCGATCGATCCTTTGAATCGAAAAAAAACTTTAGACAAAAATGTGGAAAAAAAAAACCTGCCAATGTTTGCCACAAGCACGATGATTGACATTTTTTTGATTGCCTCGTACACACAGGTACCGCGAAAAAGGAAATCAAATTAGAGGAGCGTATAGTATATGTATACGAGGAAGCGAAAACACGTAACCGGCAATTTACCGGTTTATCGAGCGACAAAAAAAAACAACAGTTATCGGAGAAAATAGAAAATTACGGCGATGTGTACCTGTAAGTGAACCAATGGAGAGTCGCCAAAGCATTTCGATGAATATCGTTCGAGAGAGAAAAGTACCACGTGTATATCGACGGCTCCGAAGAAAAAAAGCAGGAGATTTTAGCGTTTTTCAAAAACTAACCAAACTCGTTGCGTTCTGATCAAAACTAGCTATACTTGCTCCTTTTTGACCAAGACTATCAATATACACAGGTTTTTGAGAAAAACTAACAAAACTTGAGCCTTTTGATCAAAACTATCAACAAAAACGGAGAATAGACGCGCGAGTGCACATTCATTTCAACAACGGCGGACGTGGGAGAGAGAGAGATGAGAACAAACGTCCGCGTTAGGCGGAGCGAGAGAGGAAAATCCGGTGCCCCACTCGGGGCAGCTACGCGTATGTATACCATACACGTCAGGTAAGCCCGAAAAGGAGCCACGCTCGAGAGCATATAGGTGTGCTCACAAAACGAGAGGCACCGTTGTTCCCTCCCCCCCCCCCCCTTGGCTGGAATCAAGGCATCAGACGACGGCTAATACAGACCGGGTGCTTATTTATTTTAGCCCCGCGAGGGAGGGAGCGGCTGGTGCTAACGTCCGGGGACGAAGCGGCAATTTTTTCCCCGGCCGATGTAACTGTTCGTCGCTGTCCGAGGGTCAATTTACTCGGGACACTCGGCGATTTATTTGAGCCGTACAGCGTGCACAGCACCGAGGGCCGGCCAATCGATTTCGCCCCGAGAGGAGCCTCTTTTCTCTCCACCCTCACTGATTATGCCGTTGGCTTTTTCTTTTTTTCTCCTGCAGCCGACCGAATTAATGACATGGTCCAGAAAGCGAGGGGTGATCTATATACTCGTATCGCGATCGGAGCACAAGGTTTGCAGTGTACAGCGATATAAAATATCAATTCCGCCCTCCCTCGCATGTGTATCGATTTTTTTGAAAACCCACGTATTATCTCCTCCCCCCTCCTCGTCGTATCCCCGTCAGTTGCACTAATGGCATCAGTTACACCGACATCTCTGTGTCTGATGTATATATATATTCGTGAGTGTATATATTACACTGGACGATATTTTTATTTACTTTTTCGTTATTATTGCTCAACGGGTGAGGTAATAACGGTGCTCGGTGAGCTGATATTCGAAAACTCGCGCAACGTGTATCGTTAATTTCTCAATAACGGAATTGGCCAATTACTCGATTGTATCGTCCGCCTCGAACAGGCGCCTTTGGCCAGTGTAAATATCGAGTGCACAGCGGTAGGTTGTAATTTAATTAGAGAGAGCCGGTAGCGTGCGCGGGAGGCTTTCAAAGTTTCGTTTTTTATGAAAGAAGGAAAAACACGAGGTGGCCGACTGGCTTTCCTTTTAGCGGATAGTATTAAATGAACGAACAACACTCGTAGCGTTGGATGTGAAAGGATGAGAAAAAAAAAAAAACAGCAGGTGTACGTATGAAACAAATGTCGGGTGATCATAGATACAAATTGAGCTTGGCGGAGACAAGTGCAGGAGCGACGGAGCTCCGCGCTCGACACCATGCATTACGATAATGGTGTTCTCGACAGGAGGACGAATGGCCGACGACGTGTATACGGAAGTGGAGGAGGAGGAGAAAAGGGCCACAAACACCAGCAATGGACCCTTACGTAAGTGTACGTGTGTATACGAACGGATACTACAAGTAGGAGGAGAAAAAAAAAAGTTACCTGAAAATTGCGTATCTGTCCAATGGGGCAGTCGTCGCTGCATATGCTGCGCGGCACGTGCAGCTCGCCGACGCCGGTCGTCCACTGCGTCACGTTTATTTCGAGATCCAGCCTGGGAACATGGCGCAAACTCTCATACAGTAGTCATATACACAAGAATTAGAAGAGGAAAAAACAAAGGAAAATCGGACAAACGGAAACACACCCCAAGGGACAAGCGACTATTTCATACCTCTCCTTCCACGAGCCGATGAGGGTGTAATTGTAGCGGCCAAACTCGTCGCGCTGGTACTGGTAGATGTTGTAATANTATTTATTTAACAGAGTGGCCAGTAAGCGCCCCGGGTCATTAGGTGATAGGCGCTTGTGTTATTTACTAATAATTATTTATTTAAAAGAGTGGCCAGTAAGCGCCCTGGGTTATTGGGAACATTTAATTTAATTTTAGCTGGTCCTAATAAAAGTGTAATGATGGCTTTGATTGGAGGAGTCGCGGCTCTTCTTAGTTTTTATTTGAACTCACCGAGTATTGTTAATCTTTATGAAAAAGTAACGAGTTATTAATATAGTCTTGCTCGTAGGATTGAGGAGTCTTGCTATTCTTTATCGAGGTGCAGCTATTGTTGTTGATTTTCTTGAAAAAGCAGTGAGTTTTGATAGTCTTGCTTGGAGGACTCGTGACTCTTGCTACTCTTTGTCGAAGTGCAGCGAGTGTTGATAGTTTTGATCAAAAGGCTCAAGTTTTGTTAGTTTTTCTCAAAAACCTGTGTATGTTGATAGTCTTGGTCAAAAAGGAGCAGTGAACGTTAGTATTTGTCGAAGCTAAGTGATTGTTGATAGTTTTAGTCAGAAGTCTTCACTATCAATAGTTTTCGATGAAATTTATTTAATGCTTTTTTTCTTCGGAGCCGTCGATATATATATTTTACCTGTGTAGGGGTACGTGCACTTGAAACGGAAAGAAAGGCAGTTGAACGAGCGGCGGGCATTTACGGAGTAATGGGCGACAGAAGTAAGAGGGTCCTCGTAGGTATTAGCTATATATGTGTGGGGGGAGGGTGAACGGTCTACATCTACTCGAGGTTGCTCACGCGTCGGAACGACCTCGTTTAAGTGCTCGCGTGCGTATTACGCCTAACACGAGTACCCGGCAAATGAGGTGGGAAGGGGCACAGAGAGGGGGGGGGGGTTCAAAGGCCATTTATTAATGGACAGCCCGTCGACGCGTGATGATCCAATTAATGAACGGGCGGAAGGTGTCGGCGCGTTTTCCGAGTCCGCTAATGGACCTCTCTCGCACTCCGTACGCGTCGAGTGGCGCATAAATGCACTCAATTTTCTTTTATCCTTACGTGATCCTCCGTGGCAAGATTTGTCCAACTGCGATTGCAACAATGACAAAGATTTCGAGCGAAATGAAACTCCCCTCTCGGGTGAGAGGGCGACTGCAATTAGCGCCGACTTTAACGACTGCGAAATCTCACTGGTGATCGATTATATCTGCTCGAGCGTATCCATGGTGCTCAGGGAAAGTTATTACTTTTCCAAACAGTTTGGAAGATTATACATCCGATTGCAATGGCATCTGTTAAATGCTCCCACTGCTCCGGATATCGCCGTCTTATCGTACTATTTTGCTCGCAAGGTATATATACGTATTAAAACGATAAAGTTTGCCGCAAGTTCTTTGATGGAACAAACACCCAAATGTAAGAAAATGTTGGAAAAAACAAACGAAAACAAAAAAGGATGTAACCATGCATTTTTGAGTAATCAGCGCTTAGTTAGAGAGTTTATTCAAGAGCCTAACGATGGTCTGTTTGGTTTTCCGCTCGGCTCCGGAGACACTGCACTGTAGGGGATCCGCAGGTTGTACGGGATGTACACACGTACGGTGGGTCTTACAGAGGAGATCAAAGACGACGTGTACACCGGGGCGTGTTACAAGCCCTTTATATAGCCCTTGCGGGTCACGAGCTAGATCGAGTTTGCCCGGTTATTTTTGCCCCGAGAGTTAAGCAGATTATTCGGTGGTGGGTGGTGGTGATTATTAGTTCAAAGCCGAGTAGTTGACAGTGGCATTCAATTAATGAGAAAATTGGAGCTATCAAAGTGTACAGCCATGGAAGCAGGAGGAGGATTATAAGCGGGGCGGTAAGGCGGAGTAATTGGAGTAATCTTGAACTGACCGACAAAGGGCACGAGGCCCTCTTGCTTGTACTCGATGAGCTCCTCGGTGCCGTTGCAGCGCCTGCGCGTCGGGTCTGCCTCGGAGAAGGTGCACTTGTGGTGTTGCGACCAAAACTCCCGAAACCAGAGGTTCCGGCAGTTGACGTACTTCCCGGGCAGCGTGGCGTGGGGCACGTTGCGCTCGTGCACCCCCTCGCACTCCTTGCCCACCCGTGGCAGCAGGTTCTTGTAGTAGTTGTCGAAGCCTGTGGGCACGCAAAAACAACACCGCGCCGTCGTGTTACACATGTCCAGCGAATTTCCCTTGAGAATCAATTATTTCGCTCGCTTTTCGCGTGAAATTTAATTTAAATATGTTTATTACCGCTTCTACACGCTCCGCGGACTCACCCCTATATGGCCGTGAAATTTAATTCAATATTCAACGCTTTAATGAGAAAGCGCGGATGTTTTCCGATTCCGATGCGAGCGCAGATATGGTAAGCTTAACAGGTTTTAGACGTCACGTTATTTACCCTCCCGGCTCATTAACACCTTCGCCCGTTCTTCTAATTAAATTTGCCCCAGAGGAGGGATGAAGTTGATGGTTATAGGCTCGCTTGTTTACGTCTACGTTTCTTTTAATTAAAATTTCTGCTTGCCAAGCGACTCTCGACCGGCCTTTGTGCGCGACACTGTTTCGTCGATTCCAATAATAAATCGCTACTTGATTTTATTGATAAAAATAAATACCAATCACTGATGACGATAAAAAAAATATTGTAATTTGTAGTTGTATGGGATACAATTCCGCAATTTTCCAATTCTTGTACGCACAAGTATTTGCTGTGTCGACCGTCATAGCATAAGTTTCTTACGTATAACGAGACATTGCCGGCAAAGCCAACAAGAAGCACATTATTGAAATGACGCCGGAGCTATGTGTAGGGGAAAAAATAAAATCGAGACGGACCTTCGAGTGGGTTGCGGAAGGGCAGTATGGTTATGGCTCCCTCAGCGGCGTACTCTTGCTCCCTGACCGGGTGTACCTTGGCGCCCCACGAGTCACTGCCGATCCACATGAAATGGCCCGTCTTGTTGGCCTTGATCGTCGCGTTGAGCAACTTTCTGCAAACAAACAACAAAAAAAGCCATTACCCATCAAATTAACAATGTAATATGTATTGCTCGACACACATATTTGGTTAACTCCTAAAACAAAAAAGCCACCAGACCTATACTGTATAGACTAGTTAAAAATTGACGTTCGTGCGCGTCGATCGGTCTCCAACATTCTATTTATGGACGACTCGCGCTCCCTCGCCATTACTTACCTCGTCTACGGACCAATCAAAAGTTTCAAGTCTCTCGTTTCACTGTCTCGGGGCACCCGTGAACCAGTTCGACTCGCGTCAAGCGAGCATACATCGGCTGATTCAGCAAGAATATCGTAGCAGCTGGCCCAGCGGTTGTGTGCTCAAGCACAGAGTGGAATAGCTCTTTATGCGCCCCGTACGTATACGTGTATGTACCGCTGCTCGACTAAAAATTGATGGGCGAGTCACGCGCAGAACGACTAGCTACCCATGATTGTTATGTGCCGACGTAGGTATACACATGTACGGGAATCGTGTGTATACGTGCTGAGAGTTCCCTGGTTATCCCCCCTCCCCCGTAGATGTCCCGTACGATTACGTGTCCACCTGTACGGCACCGCCACGCCCAGCTGCCGCGTCGAATGTTTTTCTCATCTGCCGTGCGTGGACGAAAAAAAAAAAAAAAGAGCTCGGCCACTTTATGGCCCGGCAGACGCGCTATGACCTCTCCGTGCTGGCGCTTGCCGAGCGAATTTTGCTGCGTCCGCGCACTCGCCGTGATGTTGTGTTATCCAATCCTCTCTTATACCCGGCTCTTCTTGAATTGCCTTTTTTTTTCGCCCGGTATAGTTGGGTTTCCCCCCTCCCCCCGTTCTGTCAGGTCACGTGATAAGAACCCAAGCCGGAAGTGAGTGTAGGCTTTTGGAGCGAAGGTACACTGTGCTCGGGTATCCTTAAATTATTAAGCTGCGAGGGTGAACGGTTCCATCAATCTTGCCTTTTTTTTTTTTTTTTTTTTCCCTCCGTGGCACTTGACGCAGGTAATTGACGGGCTTCCATGTTAAAGAGACAGTGGTAATAAAAGTCGTCGTTGTCGTCCACGAAATACTCTGCAGCCCAAATTAATACACATCTATACACACTTTATTTCACCCAGCGTTGATCCCCACTGCGGAAGTCGTGGGTTTTAATTAGATAGTCTTTTGACGGGCCATTAAACTTTTTTAATCATGCTAATGCTCGAAAATAAGTTGGACAAGTTGCCAACTTTCGCCCGCCGAATGACCCTCGTTAGAGTTTGATCTGTCGTACGCGCACATTGATTGTACGGATTGAAATCGAGCGAAGTAGTACAGATCAAGCTTCGGTCAGACGCTCGCTGATCTGCAATATTTTTCGATAGCTCTGCTTGACTGTGTAACTTCAAGAGATTCTTACCGAATTTAATGATAAGTATTACTTTCCGGAGAGTTGAAACGAAAATATAGAGTCAGGCCGTAGTTTAATCCCGTGAGTCTTCGTCAAGTAAGATTATAGATATAAAAAAAACAAATAATCGTTTTCTCAGAAAACTTGAGCTCTGCAGTCTCTCGCGACGATAGCTCAGTCCGACGTTAAACGAGGAGTTTCACCGAAGGCTCATTGAAATACGTTTCTTTGAAGCTTTTATTCGGGACCTGTTGCGTTTGAAAAGCTCGACTGTACATCAAAGTTATAATTATGTAAAGGCCCAAGTTTGACAATTAGCCAGCAACCTTTTGAAATGGTGGATAAAGTTAGCGCATACTTTCGAAGGTAAAGTTCGATGACTCGTCATTTTCAACCCTGGCAAAACGTTTACTCGGATTAAAGCTTATTCTGAACGATGTACTTGTTGGCAACTTTTGGTCACATCCAGCACGGTTAAATTATTTCCCATCCGCTTACCTCATTTCAACGTGGCTTTATAGTTAACGAAAAAAAAAAAAAAAAAATATTGGTCTGCAAAAAAAGAAGGAAATGACGATGAAACACGTTTCGATATGCAAGATGAGTGGAAAAATTNAGTCATGCCGTTGTCATCGCGCCGCAAAACACACCGGAGCACACGACAAACGGAAGACGAGCTTCGTATTGAATTGAAAAAAAAAAAAAAAAAAAAAAATATTGGTCTGCAAAAAAAGAAGGAAATGACGATGAAACACGTTTCGATATGCAAGATGAGTGGAAAAATTTCAAAGAGCTAGCGCGCGCGATTATAATGCGAAAATTCACGCTCCAGCACGCATAGACTCACGTGTGTGAAATCTTTCACGCTCGTGGAAACTCCCTCCTCCTCCGGCTCCATTTATGCATTTTCCATTTCATCTTCGTTTCCTGGCCGTGCGTGCAGTGTATAGGGCACGTGCCCCCTTTTTTTTGTTTTATTACTTTGGCAAGTTTTCCTTCTTCCAATAAGCGCAGTCCTTTCTCCCTTTCGGAACTTTTTCTCAGGGCACTCGTCGATCAAAGCGCTCGAGAAGACGCGGCTGCTGCTGTTACGCGAGCAAGGCACTCTTGTTGTTTTTTTTCCCCCTTTCTCCTTCTTGCCCTACCGATTTAGCGGGTGAGGTTGTTTTATCGATCGAGTGGTATTGGATTCGCTCTCTATTTGCACGGGGGCGAAGCAAGAGTAAATCCTTCCCTGGAGAATCAATTTAACTCTTTTATGCTTCCATTCGATGAACGGGCCACGCGGTTCGCCATCAAAGTTTGTTCGCGCGCTTGAGTCCCTTTTGTGTACGTGTATAATACCCACCTACCTACTGTTGCTGCTTCTCCGACACGAATAACGATAATAACCATTTGGGGTGGGGTCGATCGGGGACCGAATAAAACATGTGTGTGTGTGTGTGTTTGCGCGTAAGCAGAAAAATATTGGTACATAAAATCTGGTGGTGGTTTTTCCCTCCTCCCCTCTATACCCTTCGCTTATAACGCGATACACCTTACATCACCCCGCTGTTTGCTTTTCTCTCGATCCTTTTGTTGATGTAGAGGTGCTTGGGAAAAATCGCTTCAGGATTATAAAATACCCCCCCCCCCCCGCCATTGTATCCAAATAACAGCGCTTCAACGTGTATTATCGTACAAGCGAAGCACCAAAGATAACAATTCGAGATCGAGTGTATAAAGTGTACCTATACATGACGCCTAGGGCAGGAATCAACGTTTTCTCATCCGATGTACATCAATGTATCGCAGCAGAATAATAGTGCATGAGTAATCGTTAAAAGTGAAAAATAAATCCAAGGTTACGTTATGTATACCTCGTGGTGACGTGTACACGTGGAAAAAAAAAACCACCTACAAGTTTCACGAGATCGTCGTAACTCATCTTTTTTCGCGATGCGTACACGCGTGTGTATTTTTCAGAGTCGACAGCCCCAACCCCCTGGTACAAAAACTAATGCATGTGCAGCACACACCTATACACGAGCTAAAAAACCGTAGTGCCACGTCACGTTCCTTCGCTTCGTTTCCCGATGGCTTTCCGCGCTGATCGCAACACCCCCCCTCCCCCCCCGAGCCAGAGAGATGGCTGTGAATGAAAATTTTATAACCAATCCGAGCGATGACTCGAACATCTGCCGGCAATTTCTCTTCCGAGCGAAGAAAGCGGCACGCGAGTCATTCCTCTCTTTCGATCCCCGGTATCAATCTCCATTCTCTGTTTCTCTTAGCGGGTGCACGCCAGCACTCCCTTTTATCCGTCAAAGTCAAATTCGGGAAGAAGGAAAGCCCGGGCTGCGGGTGCCGAACGAATTTTTCGTGATTTCGGGAGGGAATGGGGGCCACCGAAAGACCAAAGGTGCAGAGTCCCCGCGTGTCTATACACGTATATATATATATATATANAGCCATCGTGATTAGGAAAAAATTTTTTAAAATATTTTAATCTTCAAGTTCTCGGTATCTGTCGATTTGTAAATGTCCCAAGTGGTTAATAGGGACGACACGGAACCTGATGCGGTGGTATCTGTACGATCTCCTATGCATATTTTATAATATATATATGTAGAAGTGGCAAGCCCAGTTCTCCCACAGATTGATTCCCCGTGTGTTATACTAAATACGGCACACGCTCCTGCGCCGGCCTCGATACGTCAATCGCACGCTTCGACGCCCGCATTCGCGCACACGAGCGTGGACATACGTATAAACATACATACATATATCTATTGTGTACACGTGACACAAGATACAAAATTAAAGTCCGCCTGGCCCCGCAGTGTGTATAGACGAACGGAAATCATCAGCGGAGAGGCTATACGCAAGTGCCGATACACTTTATACATGTACGTAAGGGTACCAGCTTCGCGGGGCTAACCCGAGCGTATACATATATATATATGTGTGTGCGTCTGTTCGTTTGTACAGCACCTGTTTCCTATGAATGGCCGGGCGTGCTCTTGTACACCCCCGAGTGACAGCTTGCCACGGCTCACCCACTCTGTTTGCTACACGTACACTCCACGATTGTACATAAAACACAAGCGAGGCGACGCGCCTGATCGTACACGCGCAGGTACATCCCACGGGCCGTACATTAATTTTCCTACGTATACCTACGGACGGAGCGAAATGGATTAAATCGGGGATGGTTTGATCGGCAGGGAGTCGAGGCGGTGGGGGAAGCGTAAATAGCATCTTGGTCATCGGTGGTGAGTCGCAGGTATCGGGTTTCATTTTTCACAAAGGAGAAATATATAGTTATAAAATAACAGACGGGTCAAGCTTGAAGCTTTATATGTGTGTGCATGTGTATACATACCGGGCTCGTGGATGAATAATTGTTGTGTTTAAGGAGGAACAGGGTGGGGTATAGGGAAGGCACACTGATTCACGTCTCATTTCTCTGCGGAGCGACAGGTCGGAAGGGAGGGTAGGGAAAAAAAAGATCGAGGAGGAATGATAAAACGAGAAGAAGAATAGAGAGAGAGAGAGAGAGATGTGGTCGTGGAGGAGGTGGTAGAGACTTATAGGAGTAATATAGCGAGCTGAGCGTGAAATCCCACCGTGAGCCGAGGTCGTACGGGGAGAGTTGAGCCCTCCTCCCGCGAGCCTACCCCTGCGGAAAGCCCGACTTTGGGGGCTCTCTCTATATTTTTGCGGACAAACTTTCGGTGGCTTTGGTCCTCGCTCTCTCTTTTTGCTGATATGTTTTTTTTTTTTTTTTTTCTTTTTTACCCAGGAGCAAGCGATGCCTATCTCTACGCGCGCTCTCACGCATGTAAATCTCGCGACATGTTTGTCTTTCTAGATACACACACCCCGGCTTTGAATAGCCTCCTCTCCGTATTTTCGTTTATTTAACCCCCTTTGCCGTGGTACGTGGTACGGGTACAATATATATGATTACGACGTATACGTGTACGATGGTTATCGCTCACCTGATGTTGTCCTCGTCAACGAAGAGCACGACCACTCGGGCGTTGCGTTTCGAGTCCAAGTGCTCGACTATCCTCTCAAAGTCCTCGGGCTTGGCGTTGCGCATTATCTTCTCGCTCACGGCCACGCAGATGTTGTAATCCGCGGCCAGCGACACGAAGCTCGCTATACCCTGCAACATCCGCAGTTTTGAGTGTGTCAAAAATATCACTTGTATATACAGCAACGACAGAAAGAAAACAAAACAAAAAAAAAAAATCAATATGCACGTCTCTCTGCTGTACGTGCCCCGACGCTGGTTCAGTTTTTGGGAGGGTGGTTTTTTGCTCTCCTCGTTCGATGCCTTTCATGTATCGGCAGCTGCCGTTACGGCATTGCTCTGTATACCCTTTTTAATTCATTCGACACTTGCGCGTGGAATTTATCGCGCGCGCGTGCTGGGCTTTCGTCTCGTTTTTGTATAACGACGTGAACACCCTGCCCTTTCGCGACTCGAGTATTTTTTTTTTTTTTTTTTCCACGTAACTATGTACGGCCAGATCAATGTTACGGCGATAGACGTGATTAATTTTTCAAGTCGAACGAAAAGTCCGAAGTGAAAGTTTCGTCGGGTGCAATTGGGGGAGGAAAAAAAAAAAAAATTTTTCACAGCGTCAGAGGGAACCCGTGCCAGAGAGTGCCTTTTATGCCGTATACCGAAGGCTGCATGAAACACGTAAAGGCAGGAAAGTTTTTAATATTGAAATGCGCACAGGGGTCGGGGTGAAAAAAAAAAAAATAAAAAAAGAAACCTTTGAATATTCAGCCGAAGCGTGCAGGTGAAGCGGGAAATTTAATTTGACCATTTAGCTTAACAAACATTATTACTGCAATCAGGGGAAGGGGAAAGTTCTGGACACCGGCCAACTTTCGTCCGGCGCACGAATGTGCACGGAATGATTTTTTTTTTTTTTTTTCCCAAGCGAGGAAAAAAAAAGACACATCGGCCAACTCAAATTAGTTGGTTGGTCGAAAGTTTGCGAGGTATGAGAGAGAAGATAAAGTAATAATGAATACAAGTAAAACTGAGGAGCACGTGATTGCGGAGGAGATTGATGGTAGCGGTGGGTGCTCCGAGCGTCGAGCGATGAAAGCACGTCAAATTGGATATACGTCAGTTTGACGATAAGAAGCAGGAAAGCCGAGAAGTTTGGCCGAGAACTTGTATTGTGTACGCGAGCAGCCACAGCTGGCTACAGACTTTGATGTATCTCGATATATATGTACACGAGCGATTCCTCCAAAAAATATTGTTTAAAAACACCCTTTATATAAATATATATTTATGTATTTATATCTAAACGCAACAGAATGAAAACCATCACTTTTGTGACCAAAGTTCATCAGTACTCCTGATTTTTAATTCACGACTCAAATATAACGAAAATCACTTCCACGGATGGGTAGGTATTTTCGTGGAATCACTCTATAGTGTAGGTCGCACGTACGCCGAGCCAGCCCCGGCGAAGCCAAGCAACTTTCCCAGGCACGGCCCACCGGAGCCTTTGGCCCAGATATATATCCGTGGGGGGGTCGCGAAATTTTCCAATCAACCGCAGCTAGAGACACCGCAGACGCGCAGTAGAACTTCATCATAGGCGAGGACGCGTGCGGGGAGACAACAGACGAGGGGGAGACACGTCAGCGCTAATTATCCAGAGGCATAGAGAGACGGGCTGCAAAATACGAGGATCGGCGCGGCGCAGTCAGCCAATTAGGCCCCGCCGATGTATCGCGTGGCTTCCCTGCCCCTCCATTATGGACTGCGGCACCGCGTCCCACACCCGGGAGATAATGAGATAATTTGCCAGCTTGGCAGAGCGCGAAGGGATACCAGCCCCTACTTGCAATGACGCGGAGATGATCATGATGAGCAGCTCGACGCCACATACACACCCGCGTTTACCGCCACTGCTGTCAATGTAGACGAGGGAGATAAAAGAATTGATGGTCGACGCGCTCGTGTACGGGGCGGGAGAGAGATCGATGCGCCAATTAGGCGTACACAGCTAGCTCGGCCCGTGTTATTGTCTTTGGCTTCCTTTGGTGCGGGTCGAGCACGTGGGTTGCACGAGGCTGTTGTCCCTTTTTCCATCCCCCCCCCGCCCCGCTACCGGCTGGAGATCTATCAATATTTAGCAATGGATCGATCGCTATACACGCCCCGGCCTGGCTTTCTTCTCCACCGGAGGGATACTCCAGTGCCCGTGGAGTTTACAGTAGCTGGTATTTGGGCTCGACCCCCTTTTTTGCCCGCGCCTATACGGACCAACGTGTGTATATCTGTATCCAGTGCAGCAGCGCCAAGCGACAGAGCGTCGACGACGAGGGGGGGTGAAAGAAAGAAATAAAGGGCGAAACGACAGGGAAAAAAGTGAGAGCAAAGGGAGGGGGGCTGGAGTGGAGGGAAATATATAGAGTGCGGAAAAGAGCCGGCAGCGCGCCCCTCACCGGTTTGCCCTCGAGAGCAGCTCTTTTTGCACGTGCACGCCCCATCTCAAACTCTCGTTTCCCTCTGTGCGGGCTATTTAGTAGTTTTCGTTGTCGTCGTCGTCGTCGTCGCAGCAATTTAGTACGAGTCCCTCGTGGACGAGGCTGCTCGCGCCCCGAGAGAAGCCAGCCGGTTGTACGTTAAATACGAGCACACCGGCCGTATACAGCGTGTGATTAAAGAAACCTCGTTTCACGGTAGCCGGGGAGCTCGTTGTGTTCCTTTTTTTTTTTTTTTCTTTTCAACGTGTAGAGTTGATGCATGTGACTGGAGAAAAAAAAATAGGAGGGTTTGGTAATACCATTTTAATACACGCGCTCGCGAGAATATTTCGATCGTCTGACCATACGTATCTTGTTCTACTGAAATTCCCGGTGTACAGGTTATTCGATTGGGAAGACATACCGTGTACAAGGGAGCAATGGCTATACATATTGAACATTGATTTAGAGAATTGTGTATAGGGGAAAAAATAAAATAAAATACAATTCGATGTGCTTGTGGTGCATAACATAAATATAATATGTGCGTGTTGCGATGGCAGCTTACCTTTTCGCCGTAGTCGCCCTCGACGGCGACAGTTGAGACGTACTTCCAGCCAAGCCTGTGCACGACCTCGACCATGGCTTGGGCTTGAAAATTGTCCGGCGGCACGACCCGGCTGAAGTATTCAAAGCGGCTCTTGTCCGAGAGTTCGGTGCTCGTCGAGGCGTAACTTATTTGCGGTATCTGTGAACACGAAAATCGACCGTGTACACACTCCACGACTGTACCACATGTGGGGAAATTTCCCTTTCCCGGAGCCAGTGCCCACTCCGATGAGTCAAGTCTAATTTAATCCATTCACGCTGTCCCCTCACGCGGAAAGTATACATGTACCCCCTTCTGCTGCTCTTTTATTCGAGCTCGCCACGCCGGAATAACTCTTTCTCTCAACCTTAACATTTATATATATACACACGCGTTATTCATCGTGAAATGAGAGGAGAAGAAAAAAAACTGTATCCACAGCTCCGTGTCCTCTGCTTGCGTATTCGGATGCGAAAAACATATATATATATCTTCTTTTCGAAAGCAACAACAATGAATATTCATGTAGGTATATATACACTGTGCCAGCAACCAAAAAGTTTCGAAACGAAGGTACGGGCAAAAAATGCATATGCAGTTTAACTTGTCTCCCCTTGCGCGCGCCGACGAAAAAGTTTATCGAAACAGTCTTCTTTCCATCCCTTCCCCTCGATCCTCGTTTTCTTTCCTTTTTTTTTTTTTTTTTTTCTATTTTAACCATGACGGCGCGCGCTACCGAAAGTTCTTTCATTATTCACGCGGTTCGTCGGCAACGCGTAACGCACCACGTGCTTGTTTTTCCTTCCATGCTCGCGTATACTTTCGGAGAAAATCCGACGCATTAATTTTTCATGCCACGACTGGTGTAAGATACAGGTACTTTGGCGGCCAGTCATGCCGTTGTCATCGCGCCGCAAAACACACCGGAGCACACGACAAACGGAAGACGAGCTTCGTATTGAATTGAAAAAAAAAAAAAAAAAAAAAAAAAAAGAGCTCAGGCAAACAGACTCTATATTGATTTTCCCGAGGGGTACACGTATACATGCACCGGCTGGAGGGCCGGCCCGGTTGAATTTCGACACAAGAACAAAAAAAGAAACAAAAGAGAGCCCAAGCGCGGGAGGGTCGCGGGTATAACACTGTACATAATAGATGGATGGATAGATAGATAGGGGTGTAGAGAGGGTAAAAGTGCCCGCGCCGTCTCTCTGGTAATGGCCTAGTCTCCCTTTCTCGAGCTCGCACGGAGTATCTTATGTAACGTATCGGCTGCGAGGCGGGAAAAGTGGCACACCCACTTCTTCCTCCGTACCCCCGACATATAGGTTTACGCATTCCTGTACCCCATCTACGTGTATATGTATACACACACCTATACCTCTATGTATATACGTTAAGCGAGTAAGCTTAGATGTAGGGTGTAGAGAGCGATGAGGAGGAAAAAATAGGGGGAAGCGTATCGCGTGTGTATATGTATATATATATATATATATATATATATATATATACACGCGGTGTGGAGGCTCTAATCCGATAAGATGATGGAGGGAGCACTTACGGCAGGGAAAAGGAGGAACCGATGGCGCGCGACGGTCCCTCGGCGATGATGCCGGTTCGTCGGCGTGCGGTACTTGGGACGAAAATTAATCCGCCCCGCGTTTTATATATACATACATTATACATACACGGAGCGGAAGATGTTGCGTTATCAACGCGAAGCTTTATAAAAGAGGGTTATGCGTCCCAGTCGTCCTTTTGATGTGCACGTGTATGTGCCGTGCCCCTGTACAAGCGTGAGATGGTGCTCGCGCGGGGATGCGAGGCGCGGAAAAAGAAGAGCGAAACACTCTGGAACGCATAATATATATATATGCATACGTATATATCGGACGTGGAGTTGGTGTTGTTGTTGCTCGCGACAAAAGTCGGCTGCAATGAGAGGAGGGGCGCTACGTGGATGATTGAAAGGAGCGCCGAGTGCTGTTAAGTAGTGCGCGAGAGAGTCAAAGAAGAAGAAAAAAAAAAAAACAGGAGGATGAGGAGGAGGCCTCGATTCTGGGGATGTAACTTTTTTTTCTTTTTTCTTTTCTTTTTCCCTCCCGAAAGTGCTTTTTGAATGATCAGCTCGTCACCTCCTCCTCCTCCTTAGTCTTTTTGCTCTGGAAAAATCTCCTTCGTCCCCCTTTTTCCGCTCGGCGCGACAGCCTTTTTTTTTCTCAGTTTCCAGTTTCAAACGAAAAAAATCCATCATCGCCCCTTTGCTCGTACACCGTAAAACTGACACCATTACGCGACGAGAGACATAATTCCCATGTTCACTTGAGCCCCGAGTAGTATAACCCCGTAAATGCTACGCGCTGCGAAAGGCCACGCGTATTAACATAGTCCTTGTGCGTCAGTATCCACGTGACAACGTCACCGACGCCTCTCTCCCTCTTGTTTTTTTTTTTTTTTTTTTCCCTTTTTTTTTTTTTTTTTGTTTTTTTTTTGTTTGGGCAAGCGGGGGACGAGAAGAAAAAAAAATCCAGTCGGAAAAGTAGACGAGCGGATGATGTTGGTGGGTGAATGCGAGCGGTGCATCATTAACCGCTAACAGGAGTGTACCTAACGAGGCCGACGCGTCGGAGCGGCTTGCATGCAGCGTGTAATTTTATAACGTTGCCGAGCGATTGTATACATATATCCCTAAGCAGGAGCAACAACAGCTCCGAGGGATCTGGCTGCAGAAGAGCCACTCGACGCTAGTGTGCTCGCTCGACGTATTTCGAGGAGAAAGAAGGGCGGGGCGGGGGATATGTTGTACACAGCTGTCGCGACGAAGTGGTTACGTTTATCTGGAAGAGCTCGGCGCAGCATACGTAGGAATGATCCGACGGCGGTGGAAATAGCGAGCGGTGCTCCTATCTCACGTTTCGCAGGGGAAAACGGGACCGGAGCGCCGTGCTTTCCGAGAACACCCCTTTCGTTCTCTCTCTCTCTCTCTCTCTCTCTGCCCTTCTCTAATTTCGATACCTTTCAAAGGACGGTGCTTCTTTTTTCTTCGTACCGCACTGCTCTTTGATGAACTTTTACCGGTACCGGGAGGTGGGTTGTTATTTTTTTCTCCCCCTGGACGTGATTCGCCTGAGAATCGCCGTCCGGAAAATCGATTATTCGGACTCTCGGTCCTCGTTGGCACTTTTTGTTTTCTTACTCGTCATCGGCCGTATTAACTTTCGTGCGCTTAGTCCCCCGTAAAATTTCATTCGATGCACAAAGTATCGGTGGATATATTGAAAAACATTTTTTTTCTTTCTCTCGGAGAGTGAATCGACAGTTGTCACAACAATGTCCCCTTTGTGGAACGTGTTGCCAAAGTTACGCGCGATGAGTACGGAATTCATCACGTCATCACCTTCGTATTACCGAGAGAGAGAGAGAGAGGGAGACATGTATATATATTTATGAGAGCGCAAGGTGGCTCGGTCGGCTAGGTCATGGATTGGCACGCGGGAGACCGTAGTTCAATTCCCGGCCAGTGCGACATTGTCGGGCAAGTACCTCTGTGATTGTTCACATGTGCTTTTTCACCACGCAATGCTCCTCGAGGAGGGTTTAGGCGACCTTCTCGCAGCAAAAATTGCCTAATTTCCCCCTACCCCCTCCCAATAATGGGAGGCCTCCCATCCCTTTCCTTGTCCTTCTCCCAAGTGCTAAGTGCCCATAGTAGTGCCCTTAATAAAGGAGCCGGACGTAGAGCACTATAATATAAAAAAAAAAAAAAAAATATATATATTTATGGAAAAAGGAGCTCACCTTGAAGAGCCGGAGAATGTTGGCGACCATGATGGAGACTCCGCTGAAGGACGCCCCGATGACGCCCGTCACGGGCTTGTGCGGCTCGTAGATCGGGGAGTTGCCGTTCTCGCACCTGTACTCCGTTATGTCCTGCGAAGCACAACAATGGTACTGTTATCATCATCGTCGAGAGTACAAGCCGGCAATGATAAATCCCCGGCTCGACTGGCGTTTTCCCGTGTTTCATTTTCAGATTGTCGGGGCACGAGGAGCGAGCTATCTCTAATTTGTCGAGCAGTGGGACCGGGACAATTAGTTGGGAGTCGAAAACAAGCGAGCTACAATAACATCCTGGCGGTTTGTCCTCCCCACACCCCCTCGCGATGAGTTTGAAAAATAATGGGAGGGGCTTTTGTTGTTGAGGCGACAGCGGAGACAGAGAGACGGATTTCATTCCGAAGTGCCGAGCAAAAGAGGATCGCTGCTACTGTCGACGGGAAAAAAGTGCAGATTAACGCGGTGTACATAGAACAAAGTATACGTATAGGTACCATTAATCAGTGTCCCACCGCGCCAATTGTTGGGGTACCCGCTGATCGTGGCATATTTCCCGAAGCAAGGGCGGATCATTAGCCCACCGAGTTTATTACACTGCATTGTTATCTTTGGTAAACTCGAGTGCGAACAAAGCCTTTGAATTTAAAACAAGTATAGTTACGGTCTCGGAGCCTATACCGTCTCCGGCAAAAAGGATCATTAAAGTCCTCGTAACGAGCGTTAATGCCAGAGAAACATCCTGCAAGTCGGACGGAGGGGGCGGGGGGGGGGGATGAGGTAAAAATCGATCAATCAGATAGTGCGATGTCGTGTCAGCGCTGTGCCTCCATTGCCGAGGATATACGTGTACCCATGTATCTATATTCATCCCCCGAGAGCGTACAAACTTCCGATCGGCGCGCGCTGACGCTAGGGATATTTTATGCGAGCGCGCCTATATGCCTGTACGTATGACTACTTTAAGCTGATACTAAGTCGACTGCCACTGATTTTTCTCCTCGTCCTTATCCTTGAAAAAAATAAAAATAAAAAATAAATAAATAAAAGAAACAACGCGATCAATTCGGCACGTAACTAGAAGAAACCCCTTTGGATAACTCTAACGATACGCCTTTAAAAGTATTTTTTCTTCCTCGGATGGGGAAAGAAAAAGTTTGTAGTACCATTAGCAATATCGATACCGCGGGATGAAGGAAAAAAAAGAAATCGTTGAACCGCATTTGGAGGCAAAGGCAGCTCTATAAACTGGACTGATGTACACCGAGTAAGCGAGGGAGAGCCAGTAGAAGCGGTCAAAGGGGATAAACGTGGGGAGGGGGGGGCAGCTAAAAGTTTCGAGTGGGCGCAAGTCAATCGAGCAGCCGTCGGTACTCCAGTCAGTCAGTTGGGCAGGGAGTGTAGCGCGACACGCCGAGGGGACGCAAACTGCAGCCGTGCACCCATCAGCCAGACGCGGCTCGGGTCTCCCACCGAGGGCCAAAACAGAGCAGCGGCAGCGGCGTAATAGAAGGTTCATTAAAGTGAAAACTCGTGTGCCAGCTAAAACGGGATGGATGATGAGGAAGTAGCTCATCGCGAGGGGGGTAAAATCCAGGGGGGGGGGTCTCGAGAGGGAGCTTAAAGCGGATGGGACGAATCGGCCCGTATACCTGATTCATGTAGGATCTGACGAATTCCATGCTCTGGTCGAGGGCGTAGGTGTCGCTGCTGCACGAGTCGAGGATCAGGGCCCCGAGGCTCATGTTGGGAAGCAACTGCCGGTCGGCGTTTATCTGATCCAGGGCGTACAGCATGGCCTCGAGCCGCTGCACCCCCTTTTCCTCCTTGACGGCGCCGCAGGGCGACTGCCCGCTTATCCCGGACACCTGATATCACAACGAGATTATTATTATTATCATTATCATCATCTCCTCTCGAGCTACCATATACTAATATTATACTGTTGCTGATGTATATAATGTGGGGTTCACTTTTTCCCAACTATACAGTAGGGGTATTAATTTCGCGTGGCGTTGGATTCCCGCTGTCCGAGCTGGCGGTGTTGATGCAGTGCCGGAGGCTCGGGAACAGCGATAATTGTGATTTAGCATCGCGTTACTCGCACCCTAGGCACCCGAGTGCATTTTATAGGTGCGAGCAACGATGAATTAAATAAATTTGAAAAAAAAAATCATCTGACGCCATGCAGTAGTACAGCCAGAGTTTGGTCAGACACGGCGCGTCTTCCCCGGTCGATTTCAAAAGCGGCACCCGAGTGCAATTTACAGGTAAATAAACTAATTAAATTGCAAGGACCGATGAAAAAAACTAAAAAAAAAAAAAAAAAAATGTATCTTCGAAGTCGCTCAGTAGTACAGCCAGAGTTTGGTCAGACACCGTGCGTCTTCTCCGGCCGATTGCAAAAGCGGCACCCAATCGGGACGCATTACCCAAATTGTTCGCAAAGTCGGGCGAGCACGAGATGCAATAGCCGTGCGCAAATTACACATCTCCCACCAGTTTGGCCGTAGTTTGCACGTAACGCGTAACGTGAAACTCTCGCTAACTAATTGTACCGGGTGCTCGCTAACGAGGAGGCGACTTATCGCGACGATAGATCAACCTTGTGTGCTTTAAGACTCGCGTCATCCATTCCTCGGCCGAACTTTTGTTTTTCCCAACGATCGGAGGGGAGAAAGGAGTGAGGGAAAGTTTGGAGTAGCGTTTGTCGAGGAGAGAGTTCGGGCCCGCGGAAGGAGGCAAGTTTGCAGCAAGTTTCGGCCAACTGGCGCTCCTTGGCGTTCAAGTTTAAACGACGGGGCTGACGGTCAGTTGGGGGGGGGGAAGGGGATGTAAATTGCAGAGTATGTATATTTGTAGCACCGAAACAACTTGGATTTATAATGTACCTGCTCGTGCATGGGAAATATGCCGCCAAAGATGATGTCGCCAACGATGCGAATGAGCTTGGAGCCGTCCTCGACGCCGTTGTAGCGTTTGCCGTGGTAGGCAGCGTCGGCGGTTGGGGCCGCCAACAGGCACCAGCACCAGCCGGCCAGGAGGAGCCTCCCCCGCAACAGGCAAGACCGCATTCTCGCGACAACAACTGCAGAGCAGCTGCCACCGCTGCCACCGCCGTCGCCGTCGCCGTCGGCCCCGCCACTGCCGCAACCAACCAAAAGAGTCTACTTTGCGATACACTTGTCGGGATGAGCTTGTCTCGCGGAGAGGCGAGAATTTATCATCGAAAAAAAAAAAAAAAAAAAAAAACCCAACAGAGGTGCCTCCGAGTTGAACAGTTCCGTCGTTTGTAAATTAATACTGGGGGGGTGTAGTACAGGGGTACGTCGGCATCAGCGCTAATTTTGTGCTTCGTTTTACGGACAATTAAGCGCTTAGCCGCGTAGTAATTGACGGGGGCGCCTCGTTATACCTCAATCTCGCTCGTGTACTTGAAATTGAAACTGAAGGTGGGCGCCAGAGGGGAGGGCGCCCGATGACGGGAGACCCAGGGCGGGGAGTTGGGGTGCAGACAAGGAGTTGTTGCCATTTATTACTCCATTTGAGGGGCTTCGCGGAAACATATATACATACATATTCTCACCAGGGGAAAAATGCAAGCTCGCGCGCGCAGGTGTACACATTATGTGTGGATACGGATGAAAAAACTTTTTTCCGATGTACATGTATACACGCGGCGGAAATTCGTGTAGCGAGATACCCACGGAGACATAAATTTTTCAGCTCCTTTGAGCGCGAAAAGTACTCCTCCGAATAAATTTTCCTTCCACCAGCTCTCGCGTTTCGCTAATCTTTTCTTGTTGTCTTTTTGTTGTTGTTTTGTTGTTTTAGCACGTTTCACCCCTTTTTTGTTTTTTTCGTCCCTCCATATTTTTCAAATATTAATCAAAACTCTCGACTCTGGTGCAAACGACCGAAACCATATATGCATGTACGCGCACGCAATTTATAAAATATTCTTACGACATGACGGGCACGAAAGTTTCGTCGTCGCAAACGCCCGCGTGGCTGTTGCACAACCATTACGTGATTGAGGGAAGCCACTCGACGACAGAGCGACTACTACTTCGTAAACATATTTTTCACCTCTACACGTCAGAGGCAACCGCCTCTTTTGCGCAAACTTATCCCCGACGATTTCATCCATCGATGAGTAAATAAACGTATACACAACTCGTGATTCCGGAAAACTTTGTATCCCTTAAGGAGCCCACGGTGTCATTAATGTCGCTCTTCACCGACTAAACGCAACGTACGTTTTTGCAGCGAGTAAACACCCGCGGCCGTATATATTATAAGTTGCCGCGCGCAGCTGGAGAATTGCCCAACAGTTATACGTATATACCAGCACCGAGCGAATCAAGTCCGAAAAAGTCTTTAATTTCTTCGGCAATGTTCTTTTTACGATGCAAAGTTTCGAGGCGCCATCCAGGACAGAAGAAACAGTTCGGATGTACCTATGTGTGTATACGTACACTGCAGTCGCGCGAATTAACACCGAAGGCCGGTCGCTCCCCGTATAACCACTCCGCCGGGCGAAACTCGAGTTTTTCCCTCCGGTTCGCAATTAACGGCTCGTTATTCTTTATTTCGTTCGAATTAGATGGATAGACGGTAAAAGAAAGCGTTATTTCAAATTAATCACGGAACTAGGAAGGGACGGAAAAAAAAAAGTAACTCCGCCCTTTGGCTCGAATTAAACCTACTTTTAATCACAGAGCCCCTCGAGTAATCAATGCGAAGGGGAGGAAAGGAAGAAAGAAAGAGGCCAACAATTAGTTACCATTTTACCACCACCCCCCCTTTTTTTTGGATAATGTTGGATCATTTTTGTTAACATTTTTCACCACCCACTTAACCAAGATTGGTTGAATAAAAAAAAAAAAAAAAAAAAAAAAAAAAAAAAAAAAAAAAAAAAAAAANTGAATAATTTATGTACATATATATATATATATATATATATATATACACGCGGTGTGGAGGCTCTAATCCGATAAGATGATGGAGGGAGCACTTACGGCAGGGAAAAGGAGGAACCGATGGCGCGCGACGGTCCCTCGGCGATGATGCCGGTTCGTCGGCGTGCGGTACTTGGGACGAAAATTAATCCGCCCCGCGTTTTATATATACATACATTATACATACACGGAGCGGAAGATGTTGCGTTATCAACGCGAAGCTTTATAAAAGAGGGTTATGCGTCCCAGTCGTCCTTTTGATGTGCACGTGTATGTGCCGTGCCCCTGTACAAGCGTGAGATGGTGCTCGCGCGGGGATGCGAGGCGCGGAAAAAGAAGAGCGAAACACTCTGGAACGCATAATATATATATATGCATACGTATATATCGGACGTGGAGTTGGTGTTGTTGTTGCTCGCGACAAAAGTCGGCTGCAATGAGAGGAGGGGCGCTACGTGGATGATTGAAAGGAGCGCCGAGTGCTGTTAAGTAGTGCGCGAGAGAGTCAAAGAAGAAGAAAAAAAAATCGTCGTTCGTCCGGCTGTACATGTATTACATAGCGTTAAAATCCATGTGGAACTACCATAACAGCGCGCACCTATTATGCACACGTAAGGAAAATAATATTTCCGCGGTTGGGGGGGGGGGGGGGCTTGTCGCGAAGAGCATCGCGATCCATCCCACGCGCGAGCTGTGCTGTTCTTTCCCTGGCAGCCGGTGCATTATCGCGTTATGAAATCTCAATTACGCGCGAGCCGAGCGAACCGCGCGGCGACAATTAAAATTCATGCATCGTCTCTTTCTCACCCTCTTGATGGCTATCCTTCCTCCCCCCCCCTCCTGCTGAGGAAACAATTGCCTACTCGTAGACGCGAAAAGGAGGAGGAAGAGTAATACCATCGTGGAAACGGTCCCTCCAAGTATGGAGAGGAGGAAAAAGTAACTCGCGTGTACGCATGCAAGTGTAGGTATACGAGTATATTGTGACTTTTGCCGTTACGAGAGAGCGTATATGATGTTTCTTTTGCGCCGTCTCGGCTCTTCGTGGAGGACCGAAAGGGGAGAAAGCTGCTTCGGGAGGAAACCTGCTCGGGCGGATCTTTGTTCCTCAATTGCGATCGATTTTTTCACGTTTGGTGTTTTGTTGTCTTCGATAAACTCATACACCGTATAATAACTACGCGCACAATAAAATACATTCATGTCCAGTCGATCTTTTTTTTTTCTCGAATTATCATTGTCTCCTCTACGAGCGCGTCACTTGGGTACAGCCTACATATTGCACAACCACGCAGATGATGGATCATCGGCGAGTGAAAAAAAAAAAAAAATATTATTTTCAATGCGTAATTATCGTAAGCGTATGGATAGAGAAGGTGGAGTCCCGTCCTAATAGCCAAATACTCGAATGGCTCGTTAAAAGCGGCGCGACGCCAAGAACAATTTCTTTTTCGAGGGAATAAGTCTCTGACAATGGCACGAGCATTATGTATACCGAAGAATGGCTCATTTCTTTGTTCTCTTAAATCAAACAAAAGACCCCAGCATAGCCGCAAATGAAGACACAACAATAAAAGAAAACGAGCCGGGACACAAAAACAAGGATGGTAAAATAATCGAGTCCATTACGTACGATTGGCCGGGAGGGTCCATCAAACCGGAAGAAGTAAATAACAAACGACGGGTCCACGGACCACCGGAGAAACTAATTATCAAGTCGTGAGATTTTTGTGCCAAAAGTAGAGCAACAAGCTCCGTTGGCAGGCACCACGAAAAGAGCCAGTCACGGGATCAGTGTCTGTGGTGGGCACAACAATGATAATAAGGACGGGCGCACGGAGCCGGCGATAATGGAATTTTTGTCTCCCCTCCCTCAGCTCTGCCGTCTACGCTCCGATCCCCCGGTGTGTCTATATTCGTGTGTGTACTACGTACTGCAGGCCATAGCAACAGATCAGTAATAGCCTCGGCGACAATAACCGTTTCCCCCCAGTACTCTCGGAAATTTGGATTGTTCCCTCTCACCCTCAAATCTTTCACTTTGCGGCCGGATAGTTTTCGCTATCGCCCGATACACAAAAACCCCTTGCAGCAGCGTAATTGTTATTTCCGGACGAGGCCGGAAAAGAAAAAAAAAAAAAAAAAACACTGGGCGTGTAAAATCCACTCTCGCGGGCAATCCGCGCTAGTAGTCACGGGAAAAAAGCGAGGACGGAAAATGAATACAGTGATCGGAGCTGAACGCCCATTACCCCCCGTGACCCACTCCCCAACGCCGACTGGATTAAGTTTTAATTTTCTCTGTCCAAGCGCCCGAAGCGTTTACCCGAGCCCAACTTCCCTCCACTCCAGTCCCATTTCAGTACTCTCTGTCTGTTGTTGCAAAGGGATACCGCAGCTACCGTATAAATTTCCGTTAATCCGATTTCGGCGCCCACTTCCACAACAGTTGCATTCTTCACGGTACGTGTCTCTTGGTTGAACACCTCGATGAGGGGAAGATAGTAAAATAAATCCGCCATACAACTACACCCCCTCCCCGAGGCTTGAAATCGTTCTGGTTGTCGAGGGGAGGCGGTGCAGTTGTCTGGCGCACTAATGCGCGGTGTAACGAAGGAAATGAGGCTAGAAGTGAATTTGCGAGTCAAGCTGGATCCGAGGGGGGAATAAAAATACGACGGCGGTTCATTCGCCCGCAGGGAGATCATGAGCCGACGTTGTTAGCTGTGGCGATAATCTCGGTGTCTCTTATCGGGGGTGATGCAATGATGGGACGGCTATCGTTGTTTTTGTCGGTGTAATGACATCGTGTAAGCGGATCTCTAATGTCCTACGCGTATGTATACATACTGCGTCGACTAATAGACTGGCTTTCGTTGGGGCTAATATTTACAGTCCCGATTCTCAAATGGTTTGAAGGGTAAACAGCAAAACACCATTTGATTTGAGTATTTCGAAAAGGAAAATGAAAAGGAAAAAAAAAAAAATATAGGGAAAGTACGTCGCTCCGAACCAGAGATGCGCAAAGGTCGAGTGTATTGGCAAACGAATTTGCATTTTAGAGAGGGCGAACGCTCGAGCACCGTCTACCTCTAAGCTTTTGAGCCGGACAA